TTGTCGCGGGTGCTCGAGCTTGTGGTCTCCGCCGCCGTGCGTCTCGGGCCGACAGGGGGGCACTGCGCGGGCCGCGAACCGCGCCCGAATCTCTCTCGTTACGTTCGTTTGCTGCTGACTGGCATGTTCGCCGACGCCCGAGGCTCGGCGCAGAACAACAAGCGATCAGTCCGTGTGCTCGGCAGGACCGGTTCCGACGGCGCCCCACCCAAAAAGTACCTTGCTGTGGAAGACGACGATGGAGTTCTCGACGGATTTGGACCTGCATGCGCGGCAGTTGCAGATTCACTTGAAGGTGGAGAACTATGCTGGAATCTGGAGGGTGCGACGTCCCCCGCCCCTGCTGGAGCATTGGGCTCCCCGACGGCAACCCCGAATGGTGGAGGATTTGGTGACCATGCTGGCACTGGTGGCACAATTCCGGGAAGAATTACGCCTGGCACCTTCGTGCGCACGGAGGCGACGGCACAGGCTGCGATGTCTGAGCGCGATTCCGGCGCAGGAGCTGCTCACCATCACCGGCACGCGAGTCGGACGGGAAACGGCAAACACTAAGCTGAATTCCGACAGTATTTGGACCGTAAGCATTCCAATGTGATGGAAAGCACCAAAGTCTTGCAGCAGCCCCTCTCGGCGGTCAGCAGTACGCGGGTGGACCAGTGCAAGAGCATCGGCCAGGCTCTTTGGAGGCTGATGTGCATTCTGGAACACAGAGTGGACGTACAGAATACGAGGTGTAGCAAGCTGGAGAAGGAAACGCAGGAGCTGCGCGACCTCTTCAGGCTGATCAAGCGCAGGGAACCTGAGGCCAAGCATGTGGGAGGAGGATTTGGCCGCAACATTGATGAAACGGGAAGGTACATCATGCATTCGGTGCGCTTGGGTTCCCTGGAAGAAACGCTGGATGGCGATGAGTTTTGGTTCCTCCACCTGTGTTTGGGCTGGCGCGGATGTGAGAGTATCGAGCAGCCCAGACAGGAGCCCCAATACAGTGGCGGCGAACTCGGGTGCAAGGAGGTTGCCGAAGCTCCCGCTTCGCTGCACAATGGCAACGGACACATTGTGGACAGGGAAAACGGCGTGGTCAGCTCACCGTGGAAAGATCGGATTTCGCACGAGCTCTCGTCTGGCAACCACCAAGCCCTTCACCATTCACTTCAGTAAGAACAGCATCGGAATGGGCACGGACGCGAACAGGATCCGCCAGGCCGTGCTTGACATTTTCAGCGGCGCAGGGGCTGCGGAGTGGTGAATTCAGGACGTTTTTTCGACCCTGGCACGGTTGAGCTTGACTGTCGCCGAAGTCATTCGCCTCGCGGGCCGCGCGGACCACGGCCGCGTCCCCGCGGGCCTCAAGCGCCCCCCCAGGCCCCCCGTGAAGGAGCACCCCATCCGCGAGGAAGTCTTCGACACCCAGCAGTGTCCGGACTTCATGGGTGCTGATCCTCGGGCAAATTCCTTGGAGGGTTTTCGCGGCAGCTCGAAATAGAGTTGCCCAGATATGCAATTGCAGCGGGGGGCAAGCTTGCGGGGTGCAAATTTGCGAATGCTCCTGCGAGCGAGGCGGCGAGCCTGCACTCGGGCAGATGCGTCACAGCAGCAACCGATGCTGCTCAGTCTTGGCCGCCGCCTGAGAAAGCCTTCGGACAGGGAACCGCGATGCTTGACAAGATCTTCCAATGCCCGCACTGTGTTCCGAACAAGCTCGGTTGGTTCAGCCGCGGAAGGTGGGGAGGGGGAGCGTAAGATCCCATGTCGATCGATCGCATCGCATGTTGCTCACGTCCGCGCAACGCCGTCCACTTCCGCACCCTGCTGGCCCGCAAACTGATGGAGCAGGCCCTACGGGGACCCCTCTGGCCGGCGCGGTCGAGGGTTGCAGGCCGCACGCGCGGCTGGGGGGCATGCTCGTTGCCAGAGAGTCCAAGGTGCGGCCGAAGGATTTTCCGAATGCCCCCCCTGGATGCCCCTGGCCCCAGGGCGTGAATCGGTTCGTAAGTTGATGTCTGCGCAAGCCTCCTTGGCCCGCCAGGGCCACCGTTGCCGTGGAATCAAGATCCAACGCGCCCTCCTGGCCGCATCGACAGCAATTATTTTCCTTGCTGAAGCTTTGCGATTTCTGCCTTTCCGACTACAGCTGGATCCCAGGGGCCGCGCTCAATCTTCGGAGGGTCAGCTGGGATCGCCCCTGTCTGTCTCTCTCGAACGTTCGGCTCTCGCGCACTTTCGCCGTGCTCAGGACGCCGGCCCGAGCACGGCTTTATCCGGCGCCGCTTTCAGCACCTCGAATCATATCATGCGTTGGGCTGCTCAGCCTTTGGTTGCATGCGCTACGAATTACTGGGGATGCCCAGTGACGGGGGCGGTGAGGTCGGACTGGGGCGGCATCGATATGTCGGGCCTTCTAGAGCCCTCTCGTGAGCGCTTTGAAATCCTTGTTCCGTGTTGGTTGATACAGACAAAAATTCGGGTCAGACGTGCCCAGGTTGGCAGTTTCCTTTGCCGAGGCAAGGCGGAACACCTCGTCATATAGTCGTGGGCGCCCAAATTGCGGCGCTGAGCGGCGTCGGCGCTGGAAAACCAGGGCCGCCGCCCCCGCGCGAGGAGGCAGAAGAGGCGATTAGAAGAAAGGCCGCACCACCATGCTGAAACGAAGGTGCGTCCGATTTTGGGGGGTGAGGAGGAGGGGGTGGTGGTGGAGGAGGAGGAGAAGAAAAAGGAGGATGGAGGGAGAAGAGGAGGAGGTTGGATGAGGCGGAAGAGGATATTGCAGGAGGAACTGACTAGGTGTTGGAGGTAATTTTTAGCAACCGCCGACGATGCGAGTCGGTGCCGCCGCTGGCACCCAGTCTCCGTTGCGCGTTCGTTCGCCCGCGCAGGACATTCGAGCGCCGGCTGCCCGCGCCGGGCTCCGAAGGCGAGGCGCAGGCTTGGCAGGCGCACCGCGCCGTGGGAGCCCAGGGTGCGCAGGGGCCTCCCCTCTCTGAGTCGGAAGCTGTTCTGCTACCCTGGTCAGTTTTGTGCCATCATATCGGAGCTGGGCAGTGACGGGCTCTGCGGTCAGATTTACACTTTTCATGGTCCCCAATGCCCAGTGGCTTGGGCTAATATTGCGGTATCTGATTCTGGGGCTGCTGAAATCGTCCTCGACAGGGAGGGTCTGGCGATGCTCGGAAAGAGTAACATGAGGGTTGCGTCCACACGGTGTTCTCTCAAAATCGTCCTTTTCAAGCGGGCCCCAGTTGCCTAAGACACCTTTGCATGAATTCCTTTGCTGTTGGATCCTTGTCGTTTGGGGCCCCTGGCGCTTCGGTTTGGGGAACCGCCCTGTGGGGCGGGTTCTCAGGACGGTATGTCCCCTCTGCCACAGGGTGTGGTCCACTCAGCTTTTCGTTTCAATTCCTCTTCCTTCGGGTCTTTGTCGCCGCCTGGCCCATCTTCTGGCGCGAATGGGGTGTTCGCTCCCTGTCCTTCCGTATTTGTCTGCACTTGGAACAAAACTCCTCCTCTTCCTCCTCCTCCTCCTCCTCCTCCTCTTCCTCCTCCTCTTCCTCCACCTCCACCCCCTCCTCCTCTTCCTCCTCCTCCCCCTGAACCTCTTCCGTGGGAGCGTGGCCCATCGTTGGAGCGGCCTCTGGTGCACGGGCGCGCTGGTCACGTCGCTCGCAACGATCCGACGCAGCCCGCCAGGGGGGGGGGCCCAAGCACGCAGGCCACTGGGGCCCACCCAACGATCGGCAAGCCGCGCACCTGCGGCCAGACTGTTGCCCTGGGCCACTGCTGCGCGGAGTCGAGCGATAGCCCGAGGAGGGCCCCGCGCGGGGCTCCCCAAGCAGGAGGCGCAGCCTCGTCCAGCGTACCCGGACTCAGCGTCTCTGGCGGTGTGCCTCGGGCCGTCCCCGTTGGCGCCGCCGCTGCCGCCCCCCTTGCTGGAGAAGGAGGGGGAGGCGGGATTGAGGATTGAGGAGTCGGATGACGTGCCGAAGCCGATGCCCTTCCCTCGTCTTCGACGTTACGGACCTCCTGGGGGGTGTCGTGCGAGTGGAGTTCCCTGTAAGTCCTGGTCAAGATGCGCCCTTCGAGAAGTTTGGGGAGCAGCGGCATCGGCATCGGTACAATCGGATCGAAGACATCGTACCATCTATATGCGTTTCTCCGTTGCCTCTACCTGAACAGAGGGGCCCCGTTGGTAGCGAGTGCAGGCTGTGAAGAATTCCAACCCTCCACCTGACGAGCTGAGCGCAGATGATTTGATTTGGGGGTCGACTGCGTAATTGATTTACTCCAGAATGTATTTCCTCGTCGAACCCATAACCGATGCGTATAAAGTACGCGCACCTTCGAACAGTCCACGTATTTGTTCGTAGACTCGACGAGAAAATTCTGGATGGGGCAAATCGATTCTACAGTCGATCCCCCTACTCGACTGATGTCCTCGATCTCTCGGAGTTGCTTGGGGATCTTCGTGGAGATCTGATTTCGGTTGCGGGGTCTGCGGCCTCTCACCCGAACGGGTCGTGCCTCGATACGGGTGCTGGTGCGGTGCCCGTTCGTCAGGACCTCCTTCGTGCGGTGCGCGCGGGAGTTTACGACGAGGTCGCACAGTTTGTCGCAGTCATCCCAGTTGGCCAGTGGCGACAGGATCGTCAAACCTGGGTGGGGTATTTAGCGCCACCCCGGCGCACGCATGTGCAGACTGGCCCCCGAAACTCTATTCCACTGGAATTGGGATTGTCTTTGCAACAGAGGACACTCGGCCTACGAGGCCTCCGAGGTTTGTCCCCAAAGGCTCGTGCGGGCCATGAGCAGTTGCCCTCGCTCTGTTTGCGCGGAGTGCCCCTTTTTCACCTCACCCTGCCCCCGTTTTCTGGCGGTGACGGTGGGGAGAGAGGCGGGGACGGTGTGGAGGGGGGCGGCGGGGACGAAGCCGAGCGGCCGTTGAGGCAGGCCCGTGGATTCATTCCTCGTCGCCTTTGGAGATGGTTCGGGAGTGCAGGCTGAGAGCGCGACCAGCACTGCTCGTGCGACGGAGCCAATGCCCTCACGAGGAGGAGGCTAATCAACATGGCGTCCGCGGCCCGTAATGGCGCAGTGTTGGTCGTATGGGCCCCTGAGCTATGTGGACATTAGCGCCCACTTCTCGTCCGCGCGGGACACGCAGATGGTGCAGGGCAATGTGGCCACCGACGAGCTGGCCAGCCTTGTGTCTCGTCAGGGGTGGTCGCGCGCACTGGTGGGACGTGCCCCAGTCACTGGCACATGGGACTGCAGGGCGGCGCCCGTGCGCCGACGCGCCTGTCAAGCCTTGGCTGCTGCAACCTTGGCCGCATCGCGGACAGTGGAGCGGCATTCCGTGGCGCGTCGCCCCCCAACGGCTGTGTTCTGGCAGGCGTTCACCCTCTGGCCCGCTGCGTTACCAAGGCGGGCCGCCATTGGGCTTGCACCCACTGCCACCAGCTTGTGCTTGGTGCCCAACCTTCGGTTGCGTGAGGCACGCCCTGCGGCTCCGTGGCAGGTGTACCCTTCCAGAACACTGCCGACGTTACTCGGAATGCGGGGGCGAGCGTGTGGGTGGGAGGACAGGAGCTGCACGAGACCCATCGCCTGCAAGCGTCGCCTCGCCATAGCCTGCATTTCTGCGCGCGATGTGGATGCACAGCCTCGGTCGACCCTCGCCACCTTCTCGGGAAGTGCGCCGAGGCTACCCTTACGGGTCGCGAGAACCTGGCGCGGATCTCCAAGGGACTGCATTCAGGGCGTCGCGGCCTGTCGGCGACGGCAGCTGCCTACGACGAAGAGATATTTCGGCGGCAGGAAGCCCTCCTCTGGACCCCCTGGTCCTTTGTGGCCCGAAGAGGTTCTTACGTAGGCGGCAGCAGTGTGGCTGTCGTGAAAGTTCATGGGAACTTCTCCTTACTCATCTCGTCTCCCCGTCCTCCCAATCCCCCTCCGCCCCCACGCCCCGCTGTCGCCTCCCGAAGGTGTGCGATCTCGGTCCCGAGTGGCACTTTCGCAAGCCCCAGGAGCTCTGAGGCGGCTCCGGGAATGCTCCTGGAACAGGGGGATCCGCACCTTGCTCCTTCCTCATCCTTCTCCACCCCTATCATCCTGCTTCTCGGGAAGAGGAGTCGTGCCATCACCACCATGGAGCGTGCAGGATGGGCTGATCGGCGGGATGCAGGTGTGGAGGATGCCACTTGAGAGCGCCCGAAAAGGTATCGCTACATACCACTGCCATCCCTGACACCTTCAGCCTCCATTCTCCAGGCGGTGATGGTGTGCTTTCCTTCCTGTATGTTCCTCCCTCCTCCGCCCCGCTTTCCTGTTCCTCGTCCTTCACCTCCAGTCCAGTCAGTGGAGCCGCGCCGCACGGCGCATCGGCTAAACAGCACGGGGTTAATTACAACAGCTCTGGCGCATGCGCACTCAAGAAACTTCTACTTGCTCAGTGCTTCTCCGTCGGGTTTGATAGTAGTCCGGGCCAAGACCAGCGTGCACGAATATTCTGGATGCTTTGTATGCTTGCACAGCGTGCTCGTGCATCACCCGCACCCATGTCAATATGTGGCGGCCTCTTGATCTCGTTCCGTTTAAGACGGGAGAACAATGGACCATGGTTCCCCGTCTTACACGTATTTCTTTTTTTTGTTTTGAAAATGGTTCTCGCTCTCGCTCCCCCAGACGTGTCGGTAGGGCGGACAGGGCGTTTCGGATGATCTAAATCTCACCATGTATGACCCTGAAGCTTGAGATGTGCAACAGCTTCCAGGATTGAGGGCGGGTGGTGTTCAACACGTGGCTCTCGCTTCAGCGCCGCGCTCATTCTTTTGTTCAAAATGGTAGCCGCTTCAAAGATGGAGGGCCAACGCCTTAGCACGGCGCACTTTCGTTGTAAACTTCTGCAACATGTGTAGATATTCTCAGATTCAGAGTTCAATTCCCAGGAATTGTGTTCGAGCACGACCTAGGATTGTAAGGACGCAACAATCATATTGATTCGCGGTGCTGAAGTCCCCGGAATAGTGGTCTGGCACTTTCTGGGTTGTCACGACGCAACAGTCAGGTTGATTCGCGGCTCTAAAGTCCTAGGGATTGTATTTTGGTCCGACGGAGGATTCTCAGGAGTTTGTGCTTGAAAGAAGCACTTCCCGAAATGTCGTATCCGTAAGGGCTTCGCCCCCTGCCGCCAGCCCCCTCTCTCGGAGAATGGGCCATGTAAGAGCGAAGTCATGAGGCTTTGGCTTCGCCGTGAAGCAGTGTCGGGACCTGTTTGTTTTTTCGAACCTGACCCAGCCGATCTGCGTGAGGGGTGCCGCCGGATTTCAGATATGTGGCAAATCCTATGTGTTTTTCGACCCTGACCCTGCGGATCTGCGTGAGGGGTGCCACCGAATTCCAAAAATGTTGCACGTGCTCTGTGTTTTTGGACCCTGACCCCGCCGATCTGCGTGAGGGGTGCCGCCGGATTTTAGGAATTAACGCATTCTATATGTTTTTGGACCCTGACCCCGCCGATCTGCGTGAGGGGTGCCGCCGAATTTCAAAAATGTGGCGAATCCCAAGTGTCTGTGGACCCTGACCCCGCCGATCTGCGTGAGGGGTGCCACCGAATTTCAGAAATGTGGCAAATCCCGTGTGTTTTTGCACCATGACCCCGCCGATCTGCGTGAGGGGTGCCGCCGGATTTTTCAAAATCTGGCAAATCCTGTGTTTTTCGACCCTGGCCCCGCCGATCTGCGTGAGGGGTGCCTGCCGCCGAATTTCAAAAATGTGGCAAATCCCAAGTGTCTTTGGACCCTGACCCCGCCGATCTGCGTGAGGGGTGCCACCGGATTTCAGAAATGTGGCAAATTCCGTTTGTTTTTGCACCCTGACCCCGCCGATCTGCGTGAGGTGTGTCAATTTTTACCCACCTCAGCAATTCAGACAATACGATCTGGTCGTGGTAAAAATAATCGTTTTGGGCCTCCCCCCCTCGCGCAGTCCATCAACAAGGAACAGTAAGCAGCAAGAAGCAGAACTGTAACAAGGAACAGTAAGCAGCAAGATGCAGAACTGTAACAGTGGAAACTGGGAGCTGCAACTGGCACAGGAAACTGCGAACCTCCGGCCTACAGCCTGATGGCCCCACAAGGGGGCCAGCGGATCTTTTTGCAAGGATCTTTGACGAGGGGCATTTGGAGGGCGGTGTCAGTGCAACATCGTCGATGCGCCTTGTGTCTACACTGATCTTCCGTCTTTCTCCTCGTCCCCACCTTGTTCTTTTTTCCGGTACGGCTTGCCCCTGGCCTCTCGCAAATCTCAAGTACCAGGTTGCCGAGCATTGGAGCGTGGTGGACTTCTCGGAACAGCAGTCCACACGTCTTCGCCGCAGCGTGCGCTACCTTGGGTATCGGCGTCAGCGTGTCCTGTTGCTGAGTTGCAAAGCGGAAGTCACAATGTTAAAAACATCAGCGACCGTTTCAACAGGACGGTCTTGTAGGATCCTCATGGCCACGGCTGGAGCCTCGTGGCCACGGCCGCGGCCACCAGCTGTCACACGAGTTTCATGACATGCCACCTGGTTTACATTAGAACTTGAGCTCGCGCGAAGCGCGCGCAATCCTAACGACAGAGCACGAGAGCGGTCACTTGGACGGATGGTTTCGTAGGTGGAGAAGTCGTTATTTTTTGTGAGCATTTGGTGCAGCGGGTCGACCTCCAGGCTGCGAAGAACCTCGCCGCCCTCGAGGAACTCACCCGCCTGCGCTGGCGGCCCAGGGTTTGGCTCTGTCGTCTCAGCGACCCGAGATCGCTGTGTGGGGCAAGAAGCTGTGGAAGTCCAGCATGCGGCGTCCTGCGCGCGCACACACACACGCACACACACACACACAAAAAAAAAAAGACCCGGGCCCCCAGGTCCATGAGGCCATCACGTCCGCTGGGACGGTCGCGGAGCCAGTGAAGGTGGCGAGAAGCAAGGCCTACGCGCTGGGGCAAGCTCTGGGCGGCCAGCATGGACACCATGGATGGTTTTGTGGCCCACGTCTCTGCCACCTTGAAGTGGGCTGCTCGTGACTCTCTGGATGAGCTCGATGCGGATCACATGCAGTGCAGGCTCCGAGCGCTGACGCAGAAGGAGTCACGCGGGGTGGGCGGCTCGGGGAGGCGACCGCGTCGGCCGCATGCCAGCGTTGGAGCCAGCGGGAGCCCCTCGAGTTGCTGCAGGTGTGAGCGCGCACGTGTTAGCCTCGGCAGATGCGTGCCCTCGGCAAATGCTGCTCCAGGCGGCAGGAGGCGAGCGGATCACTGGCGTGTGCCTCGGATCACTCCCGCTGCCATCGAATGCGTGGTCACTGGCTCAAGAGACGACCAGATCCCTGCCGGTGCCATCACTGCCTCAAGAGACGAGCGGATCATTGCCGCTGCCGTCGAATGCGCAGTCGCGGGCTTCGGCCTCGATCTCGTCCATGGGAACAAGGCTGGGCGTCTTCTGAGACACGACCTTCCGTGGTCCCAACGCGTTCAGTGGCGCGTTGGTGCGAGCGGGCATGAACGAGGCTGGGGTCGAGCTCCAAGATGCCTCCGAGATCCTCCTGCTCGAAGGCGTGTCGTTGGTACTCGAGGAGCCCATCGAGTACCCTGCCATCGTGGCTGGCCTGGAGGTACAGCTTCTCTTGGAATGCCCAGGATGTTGCGGGATCGCCAGCGTGGACCGAGCGGGCTAATCGGTCCGTCTCGGTCTGCGGTTGTCGGGTCGGTGCACGGGGTCAGCCTCAGCAAATTGCAGTCGCTCTCGCTGAATGCTATCGTGCTGAGATCCAGGCACAGTTGCCCAATTCTGGTGAGTGCCGCGCTCAAGGACGGCATGCTCGAGCAGGAGCTGATCTTCTCGGCCGAGACCAATATGGTGGCCTCGAACGGAGACTTGTGCCTGTCGCGCAGGTGGCCGCAGAATTTTGCAGACCATGCTAGTTTTGGCCAGGGCTGTAAACGCGGTCGTGGACACGGTCGCAGGGCCGACGTCGTGTTTGCCGCATGTTGGGATCGCGGTTGAGAGGAAGCAAGCGGCGGTTCAAGCGGATTCTCAGGATGTGGAGGCAGGTTGCTTTGGTCGGTGAGTCGCGCGGCCTCTGGTGCAGGGGGGGCCCTCCCAGGGCCAGTCTACGTGAACCAGGCGTCCGGCTGCCGGGGGCAGGCTGCGCAGGTCATTGGAGGCGTGGGGCGCGGCCGTTGCTTGGCGTCGTCGTTGACGGCGGCGCCGAGGGCGCAGGGCCAGTTCGTGGAGTGGCGAGGGCAGGTTTTGGACACGTGGTTCGCGGTGCGGCTGACATCTGAAAGGCGTGGTGCGCCATTTGATTCGCGCTCTCCCGCGTTCGGGATCATCGTGCGTCGCGAGGTGGCGGGGCGGTTGATGTGGACTGGGCGGCGTCGCGCGCTGGTCACCGCGCCCATCTGCTCGCTTCGCTGGGGTGCAGATCGTGGCCCGCGGCAACGCTCTTGCGGATGTGTGGGCGGGGCGGTGGCGGCCGAGCGGCTCTAGAGTGTTGGGCACGTTCGGGAGACGACACGCACGGATGAGGTAGACGCCATTGCCCTGCCAACGTGCCGCCGAGGCTGTCGGAGAAAAGGGCGCGGGTCCTGCTGGAATTCGCGGGCCGCCTCAGACGGCGTCGCGGCTTGCGGCGCAGACCTGTGTTCATGCTGAAGCGCGGCAGCCATCTGGCCTGCCGCCGGTGCAATTGCCTGTCCCAGTCTCGAGGCCGTTTTTTAGTTGTGCGGCTCGCCGTATGCGGCCCCGCCGAGCTGGCGTAGCCGTGTGTGTAGGGGCAGTTACAGCCGCAATGTGTAAGCTCAGTTAGCTCCAGTTGTGGGCGCCCCCTTTGTGCAGGCGCAGTTGGCTACCGCGCGGCCAGCCGCAGCCAGGACTGCGCCGATACCCTTGGCGCCAACCTCCCCCCCGAAGAAGAGAGCGGGCCCGCCGCGCCCAGCCCTCAAATAACCTCCTCAGACTCCCACGACTGCCCTGCGAGGACGGCGTGCCCCGAGCTCACGCGTCGCGCGCCGTTAGCCCGCCGGACAGAGCTTCGTACTCCTTCTGTGCGGCTGAGGCCGGTTCACGACAGAGGTCCCGAGGCGCATTCAGGGGCAACGCTAGGTCAGCTCGGTGTTTCCCGCATTGAGTTGGTCCCCCGTATCGTTCCCCCTCAGCGCGACAGAGGTCCCGAGGTACATGCTGAAGGAGTACCATGGGGTCACGCGCCGCGAGGGTTGCCACGTTCCGCCCTGCGTGCCCAGCTGAAGCGTGTGGGCGATGCGGCCAGCGTCCTACCCTTTTCTGTTGCCCTTTACCAGGCCAGGGTGGGCGGCGCTGGTATTGTTGTGGGCATGGGCGCAGGTCATCCCGCTGGGTGGGCTATGTGGAGCCTGTGCTAGTTGCGTACCGCATCGAGTTTCGGCTGCGTGTCGGGGTGGCACGGTGCCCCGGGGTGTCCTGTTGGATGGCGATCTGCCCCTCCAGTCGAGCAGGATCTCCAGCAAGATGTCCAGCCCCTTGCTCCACAACCTCGTTCCACCTATTCCCACCGAACCTCGGGTTCCATCGTCCTTCTCCTTATCTCTCGCACACACACACACACCTCCCGCCTGCTCGTCCTCCCCATCTTTGTCCTCCTCCCTCCTCCTTTTTCTCGTTCTCCTCCTTCTTCCCCGCCGCGTCCTCCCACCCCAAACCTTCTCTCGCCCTCCTCATCCTCATCGCCCCCCTTTCGTTCTCCCTCCTTCTCTTGAGTTGTCTGACGCCACGCTCGGCTTTCAAAGCGTAAGCCGGATTCGATTACAGCACACATTTCCAAATTCGCCAATGATGTGGCACCACAGTCGCGATCACAATATGAAAGCACAGCATTGCGAACCTAAGTTGAGGACGGCACTCAAGACTGAACAAAAAACGAGCCCAGAAGGACTCCTCCACGATCGGGTTGTGAGCGTCCGGGGGAGCACGCTCACGCACTTTCACATTCGCGGGCCGCTCAGGTCGCAATGGGCTAGTGAGCAAGCAATGCCCAGTGGATATTGCATTGGTGCGAATCGACGGCGATTCCGTGAGACATGAAAGCGGCCAGGTTCAATCACACAAATAGGCGCAAGCATCCAGAGTTGTTCGCGGGCAAAACGACGGTGTCGCGGTGCGTGGGCGGCTATTTGGCCCAGGCCTCAGGCGGTTCCGCGAAGCCTTTGAGATATTCCAGCTGGACGAAAATGCCGAGCACTGCCCACGAGAGTACCGGCGCTGTCATCCGCACCCAGCCTTTTGAAACCGATTTCGTTTTCAAACAACACATAGATTGTAAATGGCGACCTTTTTTTGTGTGTTTCCCCCCAACGTTCACAGGCAACTACATACATACGCGCAAATTGGTGTTGTGCTTCCCCTCCTCGTCCCCCCCTTCCGGCCCCAGCGCTTGGGCGGCCGGGAGGGGGGCGAGGCGGAGGAGAGGGAGAGAGGAGGGAGGAGGGAGGAGGAGAGGGAGGAGGAAAGACGGGGACGAAGACGAGGACGAGGACGAGGGAGGAGGGAGGAGGGAAGAGGGAGGTGGAGGAGGAGGAGGAGCAGGAGGAGGAGGAGGACCAGTGTAAACCCAAGACTCATCAACGATATTGCGATAAACCCTCCCTCCAAGTTCCCTCTTCACGGGCCCCCACAAGGGTTGATTATCACTGAGGGAAGTGCCATGTTGGAAGACAACAGTTTTGCCAGAACACAGCTCCTGGCAATTCAACGCCGTGAGTCGCCATTACTGTTGCTCGCCTGAACGCCATCTTTGAGATTTCAACACCGCGAAACAACACAAGTCACTGTTGCGCTCCGACATCGCGCCACATCACCATGTCGAGGGCGTTAACCATGATTACCCTTGAACATGTTGCAAACGTTTAAAGCGAAAGTGCGCGGCGGCGCTAAGGCGAGAGCCACAGTTTGAATAGGAATCGCCCTCCATCTGCGAAGCTCTTGCAAGGTGCCAAGGCGAGAGCCACATTTTGAAAACGGCCCGCCCTCCATCTGTGAAGCCCTGATACCTTTCAAAGACGAATGTGCGCGGCGCTACGGCGAGAACCGCATTTTTGAATTTGTCCGCCCTCCATCCGTGAAACAGTTTGCATTTTTATAACGAAGCTGTGCGGCGCTATAGCAAGAGCCACATGTTGAAAGCTGTTCGACCTCCAGTCGTGAACCGTTTGTAGTTCTTTCAGCGGATGTGCGCGGCGCCAAGGCGGGAGCCACATTTTGAAATCGGCCCGCAAGGAGGAGGAGGAGGAGGAGGAGGAGGAGAAACGCGCACCGGTGCGACGGTGACGAGGAGGAGGGGCGAGGAGGCCCCCCCCGCCGCTGGCACCGGGGCGGCGGTCTCGCGCCCTGGCGGGCTGCAGCGCGCGCGGGCGGCATCGCGGGCGCTTCGCCGATCGGCCGCGGGCGGACCAGGTCGCCGCGGACCGCCGGAGCCGCGGAGCCGATCGCACGCGAGGGAGCCCCCGAGGCAGTCCCGAGGGGAAGGGGATTCCTGAGATCTTCGTTTTCGGGCTCCTGGGGCCCTGCCGGGGGGCCCGGGATTGTCAGCAAAACTGCTCCGGGTGAAGAGCTGGTCCAGGGGGTAGGCTTTGGGGTCCAGGATCCGCTTCCCTCAGGACCCGTTTCTTTCATGCCAGCCAGGGGGGCAAGCATCGACCCCCAGTGGCCAGTTCCTCGCCATCATGCTGCCCCAGACGTGCGGCGCCTCGAGGAAATCGAAGCGGCTGGTCTGTCGCCACTCTTGACTTCTGGAGGCCCGTTTCGGGTTTCCATCGGGGCCCAAACGGCTCGGGATTAAAACGCATCACCTCGGGGAAGGGGTTGAGAGGTCCAGGGGCCCACGCATCTAAAGCTTCGAAGCGCCCGAGGCCTGGGTCGAAGACGAAGAGGACAACGCGCCTCGACGACGATCTGGGTGTTGCTGAAGGTGCCTCGCCTCTGGCCCAAGCTGTGCCTGCGCTGTCCCCGGGAGCCCCACGCGTTCATGACGGCGGTGGGCGGCGGCGGCGTCGTCGCCTGCGGGCGGGGAAGTCACAGTGGACCGTCGACCCCAGGCGTCGTGCCACGAGGGAGCCCCGCCGTAAAAAGACACCCTCGAGTCCCAAGTGGAATGTTCCTGGGCCTCAGCGGGCGGTGGCGGTGTATAGATCACCACTGAGAGCCAGCGAAGTTGTACACCTGTGGGCGTCCGTGTCTAACTTTGCAGCCAGCTGGGGCCGTCTTTCGACCATCTCGGCCCGTCTCAGGGGGCCATCTTGGCCCGTGAGGGCCATCCGGGGAACCTCGCGGGCGGGCCGCCAAGAAGCGGCTCGGGACGACGAGCCGGTCAAGAGGAGAGCCCCGAAGTCCAGGGCCCGTCTCCCCCGGGAGCAGGTCTGAGCCAGAGCGGCTGCCCTTCTCCAAGGGAGCGGCGCGAGGGCGGGAGAGCGCGAAGATAATCGCGCATCGCGGGGCGCGATGCGCGAATCCAGGTGACCTAGGCGGATGGAGCTGGCAGCATCCCCGCGAGGGCCCTCGGGCGTCGGCAAACACTGCAAAGGCCTTACGGCTAGTGGCGCGCTCTTGGAGACACATTCAAACGCTCAGCACGTTTCGCTCTCCTTGCAGCAAAGATACTGTACGGCGGGCTCTGCCGACCCTGAGAAGAGAGCAGCTTGGGCGCAAGAGGCGGAATCGCGACAGGGGGCAAAGGGCAGGGCGTTGCCAGGAATCCAGTGGCCTTCGACCAATCCCGTCCATGTCTCGTCGGTCGCTGAAACATCTTACTTCTTGAACTTCAGATGCTAACCTATTTCCAGCACCCTCCTGCGTCAAGAATTGGTGTGCCTTCCGTCGCCCTTTCTTCACTGGAGTGGGTGGGTGCGGGGGGGCAGGGGGGGGGGCGCGGGCGACATCACATCTGCTTTTGAAGCCGCCCTACTTGGCGTGTCTCCCGCTTCTTCCGTCCAGCGTGTACTCCAGCCGCACCGCGCGGGATGGAGTGCGCCCCCGCCGGCGTGGCCAGGCGTTCGGCCCAGTAGCAGCAGCGCCGTCCCCAATGGCAGCGGCCACCGCGCAGCAGGGCCTGGGCGCCCTGCCAGATGGAGCGCCCATCGGTGCGGGCACAGCCGGGAGGCCCGGGCGGCGCTGGAGGCGCGCTGGCGCGCACGACGTCGCGGCGGTGCAGGCGGGCGCGGCAGAGGGCGCGCCCAGGACGGCGGCGGCAGCCTCGAGGGCCTCGCCCAGGGGCGCCAAGGAGGCTCCGCCGATCAGGCTGCCCACCAGCGTGCTCTTCGTGGGGAACTCGCACACCTACCAGCCGAAAGAGCTTGGTGCCTAGCTGCCCTGATTCGCCCTTGTTGGAACGCAACCCGTACCGTGTTGAAACGTTCAGATGGAGCACGCTGCCTGTTGATTCAAAACGTGTTGGCCCTCGTTGTGCCGACGACTGTATCGCGCCAGACTTGTCGATCTAGGTGATGAGCTGCGTGTCAACACGCCACGGGTTGCGTGTGGCGTATCTGGGCAGCTAAGGCTTGGCGGGATTGCCGGGGCGCTCTCCCGCGTCGCGGCCGCAGCAGCTGGCGTGCAGCTGCGCACAGAGGCCGTGGTGCAGGGCGGCGCCGACCTGCTGGACCTGTTGCCACAGGCAGAGGAGCTCATGCGGCGCACGGCCGCCTCGGGCGAGGACCCGTGGGACGCGGTGGTGCTGCAGGTCGTCGAAGAAGAAAACAAGGCAGAAGCGTCGTCTGGATCTTCTTGGATCGGCGCTGGAACGCCTGGCGGCGCGCTCCGCCCGCTGGGGAGTGGGGTTCGCGGCGATCCAAGAATATCCGCGCGCAGCTCGGAAAATTTGTGCTTACGCGGCGTTTTGTATAGCTTCTCCTCCAAGGTCGGCCGCGGCGCCGATTCGGAGAGCCGGTTCGCAGAGGCGGAGGTGCTCCGCTGCCGATACGCCCCGCTGATCTTGGACACGCACCCCAGGAGCCAGGTCGTGCTCTACCAGACCTGGAGCGAGCCCTATCCTGGCCCCAGCGAGGCGGCGCTCATGGCGGAGAGCCTCGCGGAGTACCAAGGCGCGCTGCGGGAGGGCGGGCTGCAGACGGTGTGCTGCGTGCGCGCGGGGCTCGCCTTTCTGGGCGTCGCGCGCGACCCGCACGCGGATCGGCGCGTGTACCCCGCGCTCTTTAAGGACGACTCCGGCCACGGCTCCGCGCTGGCGGGCGCGCTCGTTGCCGCGGCGGTCGCCCTGCCGCTCGGCCTCGCGGGGCCGCTGGGCGGCCCCAGCCCGTGCCGCTCGCTGGGCCGGATCCTCGAGGCCATGCTGCCGAGCGCTTGGCGCACGGCCAGCGCGGGCTTCGCTGGCGACGCCGAGTTCGGCCAGAAGCTGTGGACCGGGGTCTCCGCGGGCGACGGCGTGGGCATGCTATCTGGTGGCCTTTGCCCCCCCGGCCCCACTCCCACTCCCGACACCGTGCCAGCGTGGTGGACAAGAGGCCTCTCGGAGCCATCTGTGGGTCTCTTGGGGGGCCTTCAGCGGGCTTCCTGGAAGTCTCTCGGAGGTCTCTGGGGGCCTCTTAGAGGCCTCTTGAGGCCTCTTGGGGGCCTTTGGGGGGCCTCGTGTAGGCCTGATCTTGAGGTGGAAGGGGCCGAAAGTGTTCCCCCAATCGGGCCCCTTGTGGGGCCGTCGTTGGAGCCTCGACGGCCGTCTTGGAGCAATGTTCGGTGTGTCTTCTTGGGTCGTCGGAGGTGCTCGTAAGACCGAAAAGATCTAAGCATATGATAACGTAAGGTGTTCAGCGAGTCTGCCTTGCTGTCGAAGACGGCCCAAAAGGCGTCCAAGAGGTCTCCAGTCCAGGACGGGCACTGTGGCTATCCGGGGCCATGTTGAAAGTGTTTAATGCTAACCACTCTCCCGAGGCCTCTGGGAAAGTCACGTGACGAACCCTTCGAGTGCCCAAGACCGTCTGGAGGCGCCCAGGAAATCCCACCCCACGAAGAGCAAATCCAAAATTCAACACAGATAACACAACACACCCGAGGACACTCCGCTTCGTGCCTAGCGGCACGGTGGCGGACTAAACGCCGACGACGAGGACGGACCCCTGAGCAGGTACCCGCCTGGTCTGCGGACTGAGAAGCGAGACCTCGGCCACGGTTTCGGCGACACGCTCGTGGGGGCCATTGTCGCGGCGTCACGGCCAGAGGCCCTCTCTGAGTCATCTGGCACAGCGGGCCCCCGCGGCGCTCCAGCAGGCGCCGCACAGTGCGCGGCAGCCAAGGCTGCAGGGGCAGCAACGCCGTCGGGAGAGTCGTCCCGGCAGCGGGGCAGCCGGTGGAGGGCGCAGTGAGAGGAGTAGGTCAACAAGGCGAACGAGGCGGCTCAACGCGGCGAGCCGTTGAGAGAGAAGCTGGACAGGTGAGGTGCGGCGCCGCGCCTGGCCGGCAACGCGCCTCCGCCCCCTCGGCCAGCACGATCCTACGTGCGCCGCTGGCCGCCAGCGCTGCTCGAAGTGCTCGGAGCGACCGCCAGCGGGCGTTCCCAGGGAGCCTCCGGTCACGGAGGCCTTTTGTGAACACGCTCCCGCCGAATGTGCAGCAGCGCGCTTCCCCCAGGAACTCTCTGGACGCCCGAAATGGGTACCGAAAGAATGGGTAAAATGCCCAACAACAATTCCTGTTCATTTTGAACAGGATTCGCTGTCCGCGCCGCCGCAGCCTGTGTCCATTCGAGACAGAAGGTCGCCTGCCCAACAGCGGCCGCTGTTGGCTTGGGACAACATTTGTTGTTGGGCATAGTGCCCATTCTTTCAGTACCCATTTCGGGCGTCCAAAAACTCGACGTGCTGGCGGCGAACGTGCTGGGCGGGTAGAGGATTGCGCCGTTCACGAGCAGCGTCTTGAGAACGCAGGTAGGAACCCGTCGGCCCGATCTTGCGACGGGGGGCCGAGCGTCGGAGGCGGCGACCCAAGTGCACAGTGCTCGGCGCACAGGTCGGCCAGCCGAGCTGAAAATCACGCCCCGCTAGCTGGGCTGCACTCCAGGCGGCGCGTGTCCTTGCCTACAGAGTGTCTCGTTTACGGTCTGTCTTGGATGGGCTCTGGCAGATTGCTTCAGATGAATTACCATCACAGGGACCATGGTACATCGAGGGGGCGTTTCCGATACCGCAGTCCTTAAGCACAGGCTTTTGTCTTGGAATGGCATTACGCGAGGAAACTTATCCCCCCCCCCACTCTCAAAGTACAATTCTCGTATGGCAGAGGCGCATCACATTTTCAGGAATATCAGCTTGGGGCTCCACAAGTTGCCAAGCCGCAGCCCTCACTCGCCGTATGGGCAGTGACTCAGTTTAGGTGGCGACTCATTTTGCTTGAGAACAACCTTCATGCGAGAAGCAAGCATCGAAGCTCCAGAATTTGCGCTTTGGCGTGATTCATATCCCCAGCGTGCCATCTTCACGTGCCACGCAGGCATCACAAGCATGTGCGTTTGTGTGTGAGTGTGTGTGTGTGTGTTGGGGATGACCTTTCTGTGTGCAACCCTTAACCCTCATTCACCAAAACGAAATCGAAGCACACATAAACATAAGCCCGTCAGAGGTAGTTGTTGTGCCAGCAGGCGTCTGGAAGAGCACGGTGCGAGAGTACAGACGTTTCTGTGAGGTCTTTTCCAGTGTCCACGTCCGCGTCATCCGATTGCCACTGTCTCAGGTTCATGCTAGTGTCTCGACCCCTGTACGGGGGGAGTTATATTTCTGAAGTGTAACCCTTGCACGCTTTCGTGCCTTCGTCGCTCCAAAGTCTGCATTCTGTGACGGCGTATGACCCTCACAGAGCAAACCTCAAGAGCTTGAGTGTGGCAGAAGCTCTTGTTTTTGTTTCTGCGTTTTGACAGTATGGGTTCGTCTCAGGGTGCCAGCCCCACACGCTTGAACGCGATCTGAGCTCCAGAACTGACGCCTTGGGACGGCTGACGACTGCACATTGCGATCTTTGCACGTTTGCGCCCAGCCGGTGCTGCAAAGCTGTCTTTCTGGCACTACTTGTAGCCGTAGAGCGCAACCCTTAGACATTTGCGCCTTGGGACCCTGGGACGGTTACGGCCGCACACTGCGGGCCATCGAAGATAATGAAGTTGCGTTCTGGGCCAACTTGTAATTTCATCATGCAATCAGCCCTCGCAAGTCCAGGGGCCCTCTATGGGCATTTGGATGCGTCCATGTTCTTCCGAGAGTTTCCAATCGTCGCTTGGGGCCTTCCAGGCCCCTGGGGACTTGCACTGACCTCCAAGGGTCGATCGGCTTCCGGGCGCTGTCGAGGGGTGTCCAGAATGCTGGTGCTGTGACAAATCCTGACTCGTTGCAAAATGAAGGGGTTCAGGGCCTCCAGTGGAGGGCATAGATGGTGTTGGGCCCTTTCTGGCTCGCTATCAGAATGTTCTGTGCTTCTCCTGGGATGGGACTCAGAGGATGCTGCGACACATTCCTCGCCAGCAAAGAGTTCTGGGCATCCTCACAGGGTGGGGATCGGAGAGTGTTAGCATTGACTCCAGCTCGCCGTCAATGGGCTTCGGGCATCCCCAAACGGGCTCGACTCACAGGGTGTTGAGTCCGTTCTGGTTCGCAGCCTCCCATGAGGGCTCCACTCTGGCGTGGCCCCGCATGACCGTGGCAAGTGGCATTCCATGAAGACTCTGCCTCGTATGCCCTCAAGTGGGGCGACTTAACACAGAGGTCGACTGCGAGGACACTCGCGTGCAAGCTGACCGCAGAAGGCCGCGCGTAAGCACCCTCTCTGCTCCACGGGGCGTGCCGCGCTGGCGGGTTGCGTAAGCCATCGCGTCAGGCTGCCGTCTCCTCATGCGTAAGACCGATGCTGACCGGCTTTTTTTCCCCAATTGTGGCCTGCTCGTCGCGGCTCTTCGAACCGGTCGGGAGTGGCCGGCACGACCAGTGTCGGCTGCGGCAAGTGTCGCACAGCCTCGATGCGGCGGCCGCGCTGGCGCGGTCGTACAATTTTGAACACCTGGAGAGCTCCAAGCCGCAGGGACCACAGAAAGACCCAATTTGCAGAATTCATTCGGAAGATGGGGTTCACAGAATCTGGGAAGTTCCGAAACTAAACGGTTCACGCGGTGTCAGAGACCACGGCCTACGTTGCCAAGGCAGGAGTTTGCTATATGCGGATTGCCGATGCTGTCTGGCTGAAGCCGACCGGCTCCCAGACAGTTGATGCAGACCGCTGTTGGCGGCTCCCGCTCGCACTCCCGCTGGCCCGCGAGAGGAATGCAGGGAATGAAGTCCATCATCCTCGCCTGTACGCTCGCCGTCGCCAGCGCCTCTGCCGTGACGCCTGTGCAGGAGGTCTTTGGTCGGCATGAAGAACCCACATACTCCGCAGCTCTACAAAATCTAGACAGCAGATGTGTTGTCATTTTTCACCTCTGGTCCTCGGCCCCGACAACGAAAACGGTTCGGGATGTGACACTGGCCAAGGGGAAGGGGTCGAGAGGTCCAGGGGCCCTCGCATCAAAAAGTCGAAGCGCTGGATGTCTGGGGAGGAGTCAATGGAGGAAAGAGTTCCTGCTGAAGGCGGCCGGCTTTTCCCAGACTCTGGCCCAGAGTAGCCACAGGCAGATTTCGGGCCAGATCTTGGCGTGCATACGGCCTGTGGGCCTGTCTGGGGGCTGGTTGGGGGCACCAGGTCTTGGGCCCGAATGGGGCCCGTGGAGGCCTGGTGATCTCAGTGGTTTCTCTTAGGGTTCGGCCTCGGCGTATTTGCGTTTCATCCGTTTTGGCGTCCGGGGGGGGGGGGGGGCGTTGTCGGGCCCTGGGACAAGCACGAAAGGATCCAGCACGATAGATTTTCCTTGGGAACGGTCCCGTCGAGACCATTTGGGCCCGCGGGTTGAAACAAATAATCCTTCCGATGTCTGGGAATGGGGATGGAGTGTGGTGGGCTCGCTCCGCGCGGGCGTTCAGGTTTGTACGCTACCAGTTGCCAAGAGACGGCCGATGTGGGACGATACGGTGGGGGCGTTGTGTAAGGACTGTGCCCAGCAGGCTTCAGACCCGAAAAATCCCTTATCTGATGAGGGGGCGGTCATATCCCTGTCCAATCAACGATTGGAATTCCCGCAGCTTCCAGACCCTGGACTCCTTATCCAATGATTTCTTATTCAATGTCCTCACTGTCTGCGCTATCGGGAATCTGCGGCTGCTCATGTTTGAGCGATCCTCGCGGCGTCAGAAGCCGACGCCGACGGCACGACGCGAACTTGCCGTACGTTCCATCTCCCCAGGTATTGAACATGCTCAGCGAAATGAAGACCAAGGGCGAAAAGATGATGGCCGACGAGCAGAAGATCTTCGCCGAGTACCAGGAGTGGGTCGACGACAAGCAGAAGGAGCTGAATTTCGAGATCGAGACGGGCGAGGCCACCATCGAGAAGTTGATTGCGTTCATCGAGGCCGCGGAGAACAAGATCGCGGTGCTAGCCAAGAAGATCGCGGAGGACGAGGCAAACATCGCCGCCCTCGAGGACGAGAAGGCCGCGGCCACCCAGATGCGCGATGCGCAGCACGCCGAGTTCCTGAAGGTGGAGCAGGACCACTCTGAGTCTGTGGACGCGCTGGAGCGGGCCATCCAGGTGCTCGGCGCGCAGGGCTACTCTCGGGCTCAGGCTGAGTCGCTGCTGCAGACGATGGCGAAGCAGAGGCCGGGGCTGCGCGTGGCGCTGGCTGCTTTCTTGCAGGAGCGGGCGTCGGAGGATGGCGCGCCCGAGGTGTCCGCGTACGAGTTCCAGTCGAGCAGCATCATGGACCTCCTGGAGAAGCTGCTGGACAAGTTCAAGGCCCAGCTGGACGAGGTGCAGACGGACGAGAACAACAGGCAGCACGCGTTCAACCTGCAGGAGGAGCACCTGTCCAACTCGATCAAGCAGCTCAGCGCGGAGCGCGAACGGAAGGCCGAGGATAAGGCCGACACCGAGGCGGCCTCCGCGACGGCGCAGGGCAAGCTGGCGCAGGCCAAGTCGGACTTGTCGGACGACAAGACGTTCTTGGCGCACGTCACCGCGACCTACGAGGAGAAGCACTCGCAGTACGACGTGAACCAGGGTGTGCGCAAGCAGGAGCTGGAGGCTCTTGCGAAGGCCATCGAAATCATCGCCAACCCGGATGTGGCAGGCAGCTACGGGGAGCACATCAACGCAGAGCTCGCGCAGGTCTCTCCCCACAAGACGGCCAACTTCCTCCAGACCGGCGGCACCCGGACCGGGCGCGCCGCCGCGCGCCAGCAGGCCACAGAGTTCTTGCAGAGGCGCGCCGCGGCACTGAACTCGAACACGCTCGCCGAGCTCGCCAGGGTGATGGGCAGCTCCTCCGAGAACCCTTTCGCGAAGGTGATCACGATAGTCGAAGACCTGCTCGAGAAGCTGAAGGCCCAGGCCGCGGCCGAGGCTGAGCACAAGGCGTGGTGCGACGAGCAGCTCAAGGAGAACAAGCACAAGCGTGACGCGAAGACCGCGGCCGTAGAGAAGCTCACGGCCGAGATCGCGAAGCTGACGGGCGAGATCGCCGACATGGGCGCGCGGATCGATGTGTTGATCCAGGAGCAGGCCGACCTGACCAAGGCAATGTCCGAAGCCACCGAGATCCGGCAGAAGGAAAAGGCAGAGAATTTGGACACCATCGCGGATGCCAAGGCGGGTTCCGCCGCCGTGGCGAGCGCGTTGAGCATTCTGCAGGAGTTCTACTCTTCGCAGGCGTCTTTCCTGCAGAGGGGCAAGCAGGTGCCCGAGATGGCGGCGTACAAGGGCATGTCCGGCGGTGGTGTAATCGGGATGCTTGAGGTCATCCAGACCGACTTCATGCGCCTGGAGGCTGACACGACGGCGGCCGAGGCGCAGGCAGCGAAGGAGTACGCCGCGTTCATGGCCGAATCCGAGGCCACCAAGAAGAAGAAACACGAGGAGGAGGTGCAGACGAAGCTCGACATGGACCAGGCCGAGTTCGACAAGGGCGAGCTGGAGAAGGACTTGGCCGCTGAGCAGGCCCAGCTGGACGCGGCCAACCAGTACTACGCGGAGCTCAAGCCGCAGTGTCTCCAGGTGCCTGTCAGCTACGAGGAGCGCGTGCAGAAGCGCGAGGAAGAGCTAGCTGCGCTCAACGAGGCGTACGACATCCTCAGCCAGAAGTCGGTGGTGCGGACCGCGTGAGCGGCCGCTTGAGCGGCCGCTGGGGCGCCCACGGTTGGCTCACAGTGTCTAAGTTCACGCTGGCCAGAAGGATGATTGAAACACAGCTTGTTGTTAGCTGCCTCATGGGTGATGGACACTTGCAGCAGACCGTGCGAGATGCAGGCGTGCTTTCCCTCGCTTGCGGGCCACCGTCGAAGTGGCAGGCGCTGCAATGGGCGTTGGCCTTTTCATTCAAGGGTCGGCACCTGTGCGCTCCTCGGGGAAGAAGCAACTCCTTTTGCTGTTGTCGGTCGCCTAGCGAAGCACCTGTCCACCTTAACCGTCTCCTCCCCGAGCAAAACAATAATCCACAAATAATCAGCACAGCCAGAATGTTCGTCCCGCTTGTTTTGGCTGCGCAGCCTTGCCCTATTGGAATTCACGAACAGCAAGCAGAGTGCTGTAAATGAAGTATGCAAGGATACACTGCCGCTGCTGGGAGGCACTTGCTCAATCATGGAGGTACCTATATATATATATATGTATGTACGCGTATGCATGTGTGTATGTACGTTCGTGTGTATGTATGTATGTGTGCACGTACGTACGTTTGCATGCATGCATGCATGCATGTATGTACCTATGCATATATATGTAGGTCTATGTATATGTATGCGTACGTAATACAATGTCATGTGATGCAATGCGATATCATGTACTGCATGGCAATGTAGTATAATGCCGTGGAGTGTAAGGCACTGCGTTGTAATGCGATGAGATGTAATGACGTGTACTGCGATGTAATGTGATGTATGTGTGTACTAATGTACGCGATGTAGGTGTGTAGGTTTGTATGTGCGTACGTGTGTATGTACGCACGTATGCATGTGTGTGCGCATGTGTGCATGCATGCACGGATGTGCATGTGCATGTATATGTCCACGTATGTATGTTTGTATATATGTATGTATGCATGTATGTATGTGTGAATGCATGTACGTATGTGGATGTGCACGTTGTGTATTTGTATATGCATGTGTGCATGTATATATGTATACATATCTGTATGTGTATACATGCATACATGTGTGGTGTGTAAAGGTTTGCAGACACGCGTGCATGCATATCTGTATGTATGTATACATGCACACATACATACATGTATGACTGTGTGTATGCATATATCATGTGTACGTTGTATGTCGGCACACATGCATGCACATACATGTATATATACATAAATATGTATGTATATATATGTGTATATGTGTACGTATGCATGGCGGTATCCACGCATGTATGTATGTATGTATGTGTGTGTACAATTAGGGTTGTCTGCATGCATGTGTAGCTGTGTGTATGAGTATGCATGCATGAATGCAATCATGCATGGCTGTACGTATGTATGCATGCATGTATGTAGGCAATGATGTGCATGTCGGTATGTTTGTATCCATGCATGTTTGTATACATACGCGGGCATGTATGCATGCATGGATGTAGTGTTGGATTAATGTCTGTGTGTACGCATGTATGTATGTATACGTGTCTGCATGTACGCATGTATGTATGTCTGCCTGTCTGTCTGTCTGTCTGAATGTATATATGCGTGTATGTATGTGTGTATGTATGCATGTAAATATGGATGCATTGATGGATTGATGGGTGGATTGATGTATGTATGTAGGTGGGTAGGTAGATATGGATGTAGACCTTTTCATACATGTACGGTACACATGTACCAGTACCCTCCTCCTGGGCCTCCAAGAGGGTTCCAGGAGGGCTTCAAG